CCCCAAAACCCCAAAACCCCAAAACCCCAAAACCCCATCTTTATAGAAGTCAAAATTAATTACTTTAATTGAAATGGATACATGTGAAAGTCTCAGAGCACCTTCAAGATCTCTGAGGAAAACTAGGAATTCTATGGGCACCCTGAGAAGTTTACAGAGGGTTAAGTTCAAGAAAAATGATGATATCTTGAAGGACTCAAATAGTTACTGAAAGTATAAAGAACCTTCTAAAAGTAAGCGTACACTATTAGTTCTGAGTCGCTTATATTAATTTTCTGTTGATAGGCATTTTGAAGAAATCTGGGAGGCCAAAATCAAAATTTCGGTAGGTTTTTCCTCTACTTCTAGACTAAATCAACATGGATCGAAGGCTAGGATATACAGCTTACCAAAACAGCAAAAGAAGGAGGAGAGTAGTTCAGAGGGTAAATTTATTAATAATCACCTACTACAGAATCAGAACAACAAGAAGAAGCTTTATCTCCTGAAAAAGAAAGGTATGGTAGAGTGAAATAGGATCTCCGAGTTAATATCTCATTTTACGTTAAATATTGTTTCTTACTCTACTTTTAGGAGATTAGGCAATATTCGATCGCAAAGATCAACAGCCAATCTGATCCCAAGCGGCAATATGTCTCCTCAGACCAGAAATATAATAGCTAAACTATTTCAGAAAGATTTCTCCAAATGTAGTAAATTCGAAGAGCGTAAAGGAAGTTGCAAATCAGATCTCTTTAATAAGTGAGAAGGCAGGTTATCGAAAGTTAGGAAGATTAAGGACTGATTTTCTGGGTACCAGAACTCGAGGAATCTGATGAGACCGCGGAAATCAGTACCTGTGCAGGATTTACCTCTAAGGACAAGTTTAAAGAGGGATAAGTTTGATCCTCAGAAAATAATAGCAGGATATAAAAAGAAGATAAAGAAGATACCGATCAAATTAGAGAGTAAGTTAAGCCTTAAAATTAGAATTTGATGATTCTCTTACAACAAATTTCAAGTCTTTTGTGTAATCATATTAGCCCTCAATCACTTACAAATAAGCGAGCTTATTTTAAGAATAGTTGTTATTATCTCACTCCCTTATCATATTACATTACCTCAGATTTGAAATTTCCTTAAACATTAAGTGGTGAATCTGATTGATTTTCTCCCTTATGAACAAAACTCAATTCAGAGTCTATTTCAGGATATGCTTTATAATTAGCCACCAGTTTATAACAACGATGAAATATGAACTTTATGGTACTATATTTACCTCCTGCACCAGCCATTATGCGAGTTAAATTAAGGATTTTCTCTTAAATAGCTAATCCAGATTTATAGAATCTGTTACCATAGTTAGAATCTGACCTTCTTTAAACAAGAAATTATTTTAATCAAGAGAATTATGATTTAAAATTTAAGAAATTTAAAAAGTTGCTTCTGATAAATTTGTTAAAAAATGGAATTAGTATTTTGTAGGATTTGTAGAAAGCTAGGATTGGTACTTTCAAGAGTTATAGGAGGGTTATATTAGTTCTTGGATTGAATCCCTGAGTTATTATGAGAAATAATGAGAGTTTAGAGTCAAGTAGTCTCAATCAGCTACTTCAAAACAAAGGAACAGTGAAGAAAAGATCAAGGAGAATATGTGCTCCCCAGAATATCAACAAGCTTGTTCAAAGACAACAGCAAGCTCGAGGCAACACCACCAGATATCTATTTCAATAAATTTTCAATAATCCCAAAAATCAATGGGGTTTTGGGGTTTTGGGGTTTTGGGGTTTTGGGGTTTTGGGG